TATTCTATTCTATTCTATTCTATTCTATTCTATTCTATTCTATTCTACTCTACTCTACTCTACTCTACTCTACTCTACTGATTTCTTAAAGATAAATAGCCTTTGGTCAGACCATTAAGTAATTTTTTTGATACCCCAGAATGCAATTTATCTATTCCTGGAGATTTAAACTCTTCACTTAAAGAAGTATTCTCTGGCTCTACTACTGTAATCTCAATCTTATCTTTTCATTCAAGTCTTCACAATTTTTTAGTGGAATGCATACTGTTTGTTTTGTCAGAGAATATGAATTATAAAGTTATGAGAGAGCAGAAGTAGTTTTTACTTCTTATTAAATGAAAACTTGACAGAAAAAATCATGAGCATTCTAAGAAATAAAAATAATGAAATAAAGGATAATATGGCTAGCAGCAAGCACTCACACCACACACCATAGTTAATCAATGGTAAGCTTTAAATTCAAAGTTAATTTTATACCAATAAAAGAATAATGATCATGCTCGCATTAGAGCACAGCTGGGGGGGACTAGCATCATCAATCTTTTCTTTTTTTAAATCCCCTTGCTCTCTTTTTTATATTTATTTTAGAAGAAAAAAAAAATTCTTTCTGCAAGATTGCAAAGAGATATAACTAATGGAGGCAACTTCAAAGTGTTTTCCTGAAGAAGCCTCTCGGGCTCCTGATTACACTTTCCAAATGAATCTACATACCCTAGTGACTTCTGCTTGAGTTGTTATCTAAGCATAGTTGCTGCAAAATTTCATGACCATGTCAGTGTACACACAGTGTGCTATGTTTTCATGCCTTTCTTTACATAGGAACTACTTTCTATGAAAACTAGTCATTCAGTTTAGTTGGTGCTACGTTAATCTATCTTTGGTTTAAAATAGTTGTGAACATACACTCTATATTTGCAGGACATGAAATTCTTCTACATAAAGAATGCAACCCTCTAAGAAATAAGAAGTATGCTGGATTAGATTAAAAGCCAAATTGAATTTTCTGGCTGTCATCTAGCCATCATTAATCGTTATACTGATTTGACATACTTGTCCAATGCCTTTTTAGAGATGTCAAAATTGGTAGCCACCACTGTACTACATAGTAGCAACTTCTATGCTATATTATTTCCCGTGCTAAGATTTTCTTTTATCAGTTTAACCACTGTTCAATTTCATTAACTAGTTCTGACAAGACTTCTTTATTCATCCTTGTTCATAATCTTTGGTTAAAAAAAACTTTTTTCAAGAATCATTAGAAACTTCAAGTTCTTTTAGATTTATGAATGGCCTGGTGTTATCTACTAGATCATAATATTCTCTCCAAGAACTTTAAATAACTGAAACAATATTTCCTCTGCTTAAGCAATATTGATTCTTTTGCAGGAAAATCTGATTCTTTAATGTAATCAATATTTTTATTATGTTAATACATTCCTTTGTGCCTAAGGCAGGATCGAACCCACCATTTCATGATTTCTAGGCTGGTACCTTTAACCATACCAAACTCACTTTCATATTTTCATATTAGTCTGAGTTTACACTATAATAAAAATGAGGATCTGTACAAAGTTAATTATACTAAGAATACAATGGGAACAAATAATAAAATTACTCTTGATTTCTAAGAGTATCAATAAATAAAGACATAAATATACACTTAAAGTCTGATGTGTTTCCATTCCTGTAAAAAATAAAACTCTCATCTTCATGACACACATTGATATAGAGTGATAAATTGCCTGTCATTTATATTGTTTCATTTCTGCACTCTGTGCATAAAACTAAATTGCATAGAAACCTGCATTTGATTTCTTTCTTCTTTTAAGTGATGCCAGTTATTTATAGTGCAGTTGTTTTAAGATTACTAATATTACTCAGTCATTCAGATCTCTTTGAGTGAAGACATAAAGAGAAATGAGGCAGACTGGAACACACATGTATTTTTGTATGGTTTTTAACAAAACAAAACTTGAGATATATGCTACAAGTTCATCAGAGCAGATAGGGAGTAGGGGTAGGGACCTTTGAATTTAGATGTTCCAAAGTTCCTTTTGCTCTCTTACAGAAAAAAAATATATTAGTCCTGGAATTTGGATACTTATTTTACGTTCTATTAAATTAATAAGAGACAGTTATTTTAACAAGAACAATTTATATATATCAGGCAGGGAGAAAAGAAAAAGAAGAAACAAATAAGCTTCTTGTTCTGTCTATAAGGATCATTGGGATTGCTTTACTAAAATAAGTCAAGATGTAGCTGTTTATTTTAATCTATTGGTAGTTAAAAATATTCTATTCCCAATGTGACCAAATTGGTACTGATTCTTTTTTCTTTTTGGGGGGGGATGGTGTTGTAATTTGACTCACAAAAATTTAATAAGCAAGAAACAAATGGCTCACAAATGCTTATGCTTCCTTGTTTTTTTTTACTGAGTGAATAAAAACTACATGCAGCTTTCCCTCTTGAAGGGAAAAAATAAAGAGTAACTTCTATCCCCTTATGCAGCATGATGGATATATTTGATTAAGTACCATGCATTTTCATGCAAATAGTTCTCAGTACTATATTAAGAATAATATTAATTTTAAATTATTTTCTACATGGATTTGTGATGCTGTGGAAATTTGGAATGTTGGAAATATAAGCTTGCAGTGTACATGCACTCCTAAGTCATTTGTAAAATAGGAAGGGCAAAGTCTTCCTTGAGCAAATTTGACTCTTTATAATGGCATAGACATATCTTTGCCTTGTTCTTGCCAAGCTGGAAGTTGTTTGCAATTGCCTTCAAGAGTATTTGTCAGCTTTGTAGTCTAGTCTCTCACCTTGATATTTATAAAATAACATCCCAAAATATTTCTGAAGTGAATGAATGCAATAAATAAAATAGCTGTTACCTCCTGTTGCAAGCAAGAATAGGGGATAATTTGAAACTCATTGACAGGAAAAATCGATTATAATAAGCTGACACCAATCTGGCTGTATTTTCTGGCACCCCTAGTATGTTAAGGTAGGTCATTCTTAGCTGTCCTACCAGGACATGTTTCTTTAGTCCAGCTTTACAACAAGAAAAATTAAAATGTGTTTGTGCTTCCTGCCAGCCTTCAGATATATAGACTCAACAAATAATTCAGACAGAAAAGATAGCTATGCAATCACGCAGTCTTGCCTGTGGGAAAGATTTTAATGAGAAAGTTTCTTATAAAACCAGTGATGACAGATATCCCCCTATAAAAAGTTTATTGGGAGAGAGGATCTATAGAGAAAACAAGGGAAAACAGTAATCATAAGTAGAGTATTCCAAATAGGAATTCCAAATTATGTAGGCTTACTGTGCTGAGTAAGCCTACCTAATCAAATTATAACTTTGTTGTATAAAGTGTTGGATTTTATCACATGTTCTTTGTAGAGGAGATGGATAGAAAGAGATCTTTGTGCATTGTGCATATTTGTTGAGGTAATTCCCTGTTAGGAGAATGAGCGCATAAAGGGAGATATATTTGAGAGTAGTGTTTGAATAATACACACACAGCACACAGATAATCTGTACAGTAAATGTAGGTTTTTACTTCCAGAAAGTTTTAAACAAAGTTCAAAACAAGCAGTCCAAAGTCATTCACAGGTTAAATCAGTCAGTTTTCAGTCCAGGGATAATCCAATAACAAAGTCCAGTGTCAAAAAACAGTTCAGTATCAGACTTACATCAAATCCAGGAATATCAGTCAATTAGAAGGAAAAATGGAGGAATGGCAATAATCTCCAACAGAAGGAAACAGAGACTCACTGAGACTTCTTCTGAGACTAAGACTAAGACCCAGGTTTCTGGCTCCATCTTATGGCCGTTTGAGAAACCACACCCAATTACAAATTTTGCATTTTCTTAAAGATACAGTTTTAAAATGTCTATCCTGGTTTATATATTTCCAACCCAAATAGCTGTTAGGTGACTCATATTCCTAACAATATTCATAGCCCATTCTTTTTTTTTTCTTGAGCAAAGGTGCTGAATATTATAAGGAATACATGAAAGTGGACCCTTTTTGGGAGTGGGGACTGATAGTTATATTCAGTAAAGGATAGAGTTCCATCTCTGATGTCCTCAGTCTAGTCAGCAAATCACAAATTTTCTAGGAGCCAAAACCACCAACAATCTTCATTAGAGTTATAAAAGTACAGTAAATTTGGAAAATTTCCCCTTTGTATCACACTGGAGAAGTTCTTTGGGGAAATTCCAGCTCTTCGGGATCAATTTATCAGATGCTTTAGAGGGTACTGTTGTGCCATCCCTTAGGAGGCCTTTACAATTCCCTGATGATACAGTTCTCAGTGCTGAACATGCCTCTCATAATAAATCAGACTGTAAGTGCAAAAGTTCCTGCTTACATATCCCTGCAGGTTCTGTAATAATAATGTTCCATGTAGTGAACTTTTCAGCAGCTTCACACAAAGCCCAAATCTCCTCTTTTCTCCCACTTTTGTTGAGAGTAATTCCTACCCAGCCAGCATAAAGTTACAAATATATTGTCAGTATGAATTGCAGATTGTGTTCATATTTCCAGTTTTGATTGCATAATTATACACAAAATGAGAGTAGGGTTGGCTTTAAAAGATGTTAATTCAATTGGTCCCTTTTAGCCAATTCTCTTCTTAGCTTTCCTGTCTGAACTAATGGAAAGTAAGTAATGGTAAAATAATGTAATGAGAAGTAATGGACCATATGTTGATTGACTGTTGATTGGATACCACTAATTTACAGAGCTTGTCTTTCCTTCAGGGCCCTTTAGCTGTACAGCTACCTACAAACCATCAAGTCAGCACTCTAATATTGCTGTGTAAAATATGAATAACTTGCTAGGATAATCATAGGAAAACTGGAGTATTAAGATTACACAAATTGATATGTTGCTAATATTTTACATATTTTGATATTTTTGACAAATGATTCAGGATTAAAGAAATAATTATATTGCTTATACTAAAGGAAATCATAGTTTGGAAGTTTTTTTTTTCCCTAGGTAAAACTCACAAACTAGAATGAATGGAAGATTATTTATTCTTATGTTACTCTTAATTTTTTTAAAAAAATATTTTTATAATAGATTTTTTTAAACTTAATAGTAGATCACTTACTGAGTTTGCAGGTTCCAGATTTATTCCCAGGAAATGGAAGGAAACTATTCAAAGTTCTGAACAAAAGACTCAGAATGTATGGTGTTCAGCTAAGTAGAATAAACATTTGATTTAATAAAAGGGAAATTGGCATTCAACACATAATGGATCTATTCCCAATAAATGACTAAACATTAATTGTGAAGTTTAAAGATTTTAAAAAATCGGTATGGTATGCAATCTGCTGAATTCAATGAGGTAAAGTATACAGATAGTCTTCAGGTTATGATCACTTGTTCAGTAACCATTCAAAATTATGATGGCACTGAACAAGGAATATTTAGAGCTGATTCTTGGAGTTTTGGCCATTGTAGTGTTCCTATGGTCACATGATTGTGATCTGGATGGTTGAAGGGCCTGCTTGTGGTTATGTTGTCATGGAGAGCTATGGTCATGTATTGGTATTTTCAGTTTTTTCTGCCAGCTTCCCAGAAAGAAAAGCAATGGGGTTGCCAGTAGGAAATCAGAAGTCACTTCTGCTCCTACTACATTTTTGCCTGCTTGCATTCTATAGTTCCTTCCCACAACATCCTCTGCCCCCTGTGGCACCCACACACCCACTGACCTGCTTGCTTGAAAATCTGACCTCTTCCTACTTAATAGCATGTACAGTCCTGGGGTTGTAATGGTGAATGGGACTAATGGGATTGCTGTTACTAAGCAATGTGATCACGTGACATTGCATTTTACAACTGCATCACCTAGTGGTGGAAATTGCCATTGTAACTTGAGGGCTAGTTCTATAACAATACATTTGGCACCCAGCAAAGTTCCTGTTCCACCAGTCTTTATTCCATTCCATTCTTTTAATTTTTTAAATAATAGTAAGGCAAGGCAAAGATCCAGAAATTCTGAAAAGTGAAAATGCTGAAAGTCTGTGGCCTAGTGCTTTATTTTGGCATAATTATATTATTTAACTTATGATGATCCTAAAATATTCAGGCAATGTGATGTCCTTACTCATCAGAGACATCATAGAACGTGATCAGAAACATCCAAGTGCCATCTTATTTGGTCTTGAAGACACCAATGAATCAGACGACATCACCAAAGTTCGCAATATCATAAGCAACTCAAATACAGCAAACATCTCTCCTGAAGATATCATTGAAATAACCAGAGATGGCCCTGAATTTAAATACAATGATGGCTCAGTGGCCCCAAAATTTTGTAGAGTTGTATGCAAAAATGACTCCAGCAAATGCATATTCATTGATACAATAAACACCATTGCAAAAACCAATCCCAACCACAAAAAACTTTGCTCAAGACCAGACTTATCCATACTGCAAAGAATCCACTCCCGTGAACTCCACAATGAACTCAAAAGATGTCTAGACAATGGAGAGAAGGATCTGTCCATTGATTACCATGCTGATTGTATCAAAAGTAAGTCACACAACCCAAAACTCCACATCCAACCCTACCTCATCCAACCCACCATCACTCAAAACTAGGTACGCATGCCGCAAACTACCTCTATTCAAACTACAACTGGCCTTAAATGCAAGCTACTCAATGCAAGAAGCCTTGTGAATAAAATATCTGAATTTCTCCTCTTACTAAATATGGCTAAATTCAACATCATATTTGTCTGTGAAACATGGCTCAACACATCTCTCCCTGACTTCATTACCTCAGTAAGAGACTATCATGTTTACCGATCAGATCATGAAATCTGTAGAGGAGGTGGTGTTGCTATCTTCTATAAAAAGACCTTACATTTAAGAAACATCCAAGTTACCCAGGAGCTTGCTCTTCCTGAGACCATCATCTGTGAACTGTCCTTAAATATCACATTTTGACATCGAACATGTAAACAAGCTAAATTCACTACTAACATGGGCAACATCCTGCCCACACACTTTTATCTTTCTTGGTGATTTCAATCTACCTCACATTAACTGGACCCTAAATGAATGTAAAACTGAACCCATATATGCAACCTTTTGTAATGCTGTAACAAACCTGGGACTGGAACAACTAGTAACCAACAATACTAGACTTAACAACTGCCTCGATCTCATCTTCTGCAAGTAGTTTGGATTCAATTTACAGAATACAAATTAAAGAACCCTTTTCCAACAGTGACCACAGCATGATTGACTTTTGTTTCAACATACGTCCACACAAAAATCAACACAACGATGTGATCCCCAATTATAACTTCAAAAAAGGCTGCTATGATCTTATAGATAACGATCTCTCATCCCTTGATTGGCAATTTCTATTCACTGGATGCAATACTGTTGAAGACCATTACAACATATTTTTACTTGAAGTCAAAAGAGTCATCAAACTATATGTCCCAATAATAACTCCAAAAACCAGAAAAAACAGATGACCCATAACGATAAGGAAGCTTCAATCCAAAAAGAAATCACTTTGGTGGAAAAACAAATCTGGTCACGTTGCCAACTTCAAAAGCCGATACAAAAATTTATGCCACCAGATAAAGACAGAAGGCACCAATTATCACATTAAACAAGAGGAAAACCTTCTATGCACCAATTCCACCCATGTTTTCGACAATTTTGTAAACAACAAACTAAAAGACTCAAGGTCCATCCCACCCCTGAAAGGACCTCATGGTAAAGACTGCAATGACGACACCATTAAAGCCAAACTCTTTAACACATTCTTCGGCTCAGTATTTGTAAACAGCAATGGATCATGCCCAGTATTTCCTAGTTGAACCACAGACAACTACAATGATCTAATACATATTGATTTTACAGAACACAATCTAAAACCATCTCTATCTATTGGACCAGACGGAATATGTGCCTACTTCTTAAAAAAAGCTATCCACTGCCATAGCCGAACCTCTAAGCATAATCTTTGAAAAATCTTTCAGGACCAGCTCCTTGCCAAACCTATGGTCACAAGCCACAGTCATCCCCATCTTCAAAAAGGGAAACCCCAGCCTAGTTGAAAATGACAGACCAATCTCTTTATGCTGTGTCACCTGTAAAGTCATGGAATCAATGATTAACCAATCCATTATCCTCCACTTAGAGACAAACTCTCTAATAAACAATTTGGTTTCAGAAAAAAATTATCCTGTAATCTGCAACTGTTACACTGAAAAAACATATGGACTACACAACTCGATCAGGGCAAAGCAATAGACGCAATCTACATAGACTTCTGTAAAGCCTTTGATTCAGTGGTACACGACAAACTACTCCTAAAACTAAAATCTTATGGTATCTCTGGACACCTGCATAACTGGATAGAAGCATTCCTGTCAAACAGACAACAAATGGTAAAAATTGGGAGCATCCTATCAAATTCTGTACCTGTCAACAGTGGTGTCTCCCAAGGCAGTGTTCTAGGACCAACTCTCTTCATACTCTACATAAATGATCTCTGTGATCATATTAAGAGCATTCTCTTCGCTGAGGATGTAAAACTATTCAACACCACAGACAACACTGCTATCCTTCAAAAAGACCTCGACTATGTATCAGAATGGTAAAACAAATGCCAACTTCAAATCTCAACAAATAAATGCTCTCTCCTACATATTGGCAAAAAATATATATCAGAAAATAAAATACAAGCTGAATAGTCAAGACCTTGTTGATGATCCAAACTATGTCAAGGATCTTAGAGTACTCATGTCTAATGATCTAAGTGCTAGAGCCCACTGTAACTACAAAGCCAAAAAGGCATTAAGAGTTGTTAACCTTACGTAGCTTTTTCTCTGGTAATATTACACTAATAACTAGAGCATACAAAACATTTGCTAGACCAATACTCGAATGCAGCTCATCAGTCTGGAACCTACATTAACACAGTTGAGAAAGTCCAGAAATATTTCACAAGAAGAGTTCTCCACTCCTCTACTTGTTGCAGAATACCTTATTCCACCAGACTTGAAATTCTAGACCTAGAAAACTACGCCACCTTCAGTCCAATCTAAGTATAGTATATAAAATCATACATTGCAATGTCCTACCTGTCAATGAATACTTCAGCTTCAACCATAACAACACAAGAGCAAACAGTAGATACAAACTCAAGGTTAATCACACCAAACTTGATTGCAGGAAATATGACTTCAGCAACAGAGTGGTCAATGTCTGGAATACTCTACCTGACTCTGTGGTTTCTTTCCCAAACCCCCAAAACTT